GGTACGGTTCAGGTTCCAAATTTTGACACGTTTGAAAATTTTGGTTGGGTTCAGGTCAACCCATTAACCGGAAGTTGTCCCGGATCTGAGCTGATTCCCCCGCCTCAATTAGTCTACATGAGGTTAAGTTTTGAACGAGTCAATAAAAAACTTATTCGCCTCCTTCAACGACGTTCCTTCCTGTCGGGTCAGAAGTCACGACAGCTTGCCGTTCTTTTGTTGGATCGGAATAAAAATCAGAAGTAACGACAATGATGGGAAGGTCCGGACTCCGAAGGGAGCTCGCTCGTTGCGAAGGTTACCATTTTCTCCCATTCGCGTGCTTCATGGCATTCTTGCACCGAAGACTTCTTTGTCTCCATGGACGACGTTCCTTCATGTCAGGTCAGAAGCCACAACAGCTAAGAACGTTGGATCAGAATCGAAAGTAACGACGATGACGAGAGGGTCCTTAAGGAGCTTGTTCGTTTGAAAGGTAGACATTTTCTCCCATTCGTGCGCTTCTTGCACCAAATACTTCTTTGTCTCCTTCGACAACATTCCTTCTTGGCTTCATCTCTGGTCAGAAGTCATGATAACTCCTCATTCTTTTGTTTCATATGAAGTAACGACGATGACGGGAGGGAGCTCGATTGTTGCAAAGGTAAACATTTTGATGAGGACATCAGAGATCTACGGCTACGATCGTGCCTATTTATTTTGATCTATTTTATGTATTTGATTTGTTATTATTCTTTTTTCTTTTCTACCCTCACTTGAGAGCTTTATCTTATGTATGCCCAAGGGGCAATAGTGTCTTTATTATTTCCCTTCATGTATTTGGCTATTTAAAGCTCCCCTCTTCTTCTTGGAGGGTTAATGGATGAATTATAAGAAAATTCATGCACATGTGTTCTTTGGAGAGTTGTGAGAGTTCTAGAATAGAGCTTTGGAGAAATCCCTAGGGAGGGAAATCGGATCACCCACAAACCTTGGAGACGGCCGAGTTTGTGATTCTTCTTCTTTTACCTTTCTTTCGTTCCTTTTCCTTTCCCTTCCTCCTTCCCCATTAATCCACCAACATCCCCATCCAATCCCCAACCTCCTAGCCGCCGAATTCCCAACCATAATCCACCTTGTCGCTGGCCAACTCGCACCACCAAACCATTCAACCCACAAACCCTCCAAACCCTATTCCAAACCGCCGGCCACCACTTTGCTTTCCCCTCCCTCATCAATTACCATTACACCTTTCCTAAATTAGCTCTACATATTTTAGGTAACTCAAATAATTACAAATTCAAATATATTTGAATTTGAAATTATTACCTAAAATATAAATCCTATTTTAGAAAAGTTTCCAAATGTCTTCCTAATTGAATTTTAATTAAACTGGAATGAGATATTTCTTCCCAAATTTAATTCCTTAAATCAAGAAGGCATTAAATGCTTCCATAAACTCCCCCGTACCCCTTCTTCAAAATTGGTTCCTAAAGCTCCACTTTCCTTATTTAACTCCATCTATCTTTGGAAGAAGTTAGAATTTTGAAATAATTCAAATTTTAATCTCAAATCCTTCCTAATTCATTAATCATATTTTTGGAAATGCCATTAAATAAATCAATTAATCCAAATCTGAATTAATTGAGCAATTAATGTCTTAACTCCAAATACATTGAACCTAGACACCCTTTCTTCTCTATCTCACCTGGCCGAAATTACCATGTCCCCACCAATTAAATTCCTTCCAAAAGGAAGTCTCACTCCTTTGGAAAATAATCCCAAATTTCCCCCCTCTCTCCTATCACCCTCTCTCCCCAATTTAATTTGGGATCTAATTGACTTGCCACCTAAGCAATCAAATCTATCCCAAGGCTACTCCTGCTGTCGTTCACTAATTACCCCCACCTTATTCCTTATTTCCTGCATCCAGAGATCCGGAAATCTGAAGTTCTCTGATACGCCATAGGGTTTCACCAATTCGATTTTGCCCTAATTTCTCTCAAATGAGCATGAGAGGAACAAAACAAGATCAAAAGCAAAGATTTTCCACGGTAAAATCCTTAGAGTTGTGCACTTTGATGATTTTCGGATTAGGGCACAAACCCTCCAAAACTTTGAAGAAAAACTCTCAAAATTAGAGCACAATCATAAAAAAGAGAAGGGAATCCATTTAGTATTGAAAGGGAAGCAAGTTCAACACAAAAGAAAGATACAATTTGTCCACTTCGAGAAGGACAAGGTCTCCCACTACAAACCCTAGAAAAACAAGAGAAGGAAACTAAGAGGCTAAGAGAAAGCTCCAAATGCATAACCCTAGAAATCCCCTCTCAATCCCTACTTAAAGCAAGCAAAAGACCCAACCAAACCCACTAGTGGGCTGCCCAAACTGAACCGCCCAGCTCAGGCTAGACCTGAGCCAAACCGGTCCAGAAATGGACCGGTTCAGCTCAAGCCGAACAGCCCCGTCCCGCTCCGCGTCCCTGCTTCGGCGGATCGAACGGGCGCGTCGGTGCGGCGCCTGTTCCGGCTGTTTCCGCGCGCCGCGGGGTAGCCCGCCCTTCCTCTGCCGGTCGGCGTCGGCAGTGGCCCGCATCATTCTCCCAGTCAAGTTCAGACTTCTGAACAAGTCCTGTGAGCTGTCCAAGGGTTTCGCATCTTTACAAGCTGCTGTCAATGTCGTTACAACAGCTGTCCAGCATTCCAAGATTGGATAGTTTGATGTCCAGAATTTTCTGGACATAGAAGTGTGCTGTCCACAGGTTCCTGCAGCCACCAACTACTGTCTTGCACCCTGGGAGGTTTGAAATTGTTGTTCAAAAGCCTCCATCAGCCTATAACAGCTGCCCAAGGTTTATACAAGCATTGGAGATTGCTGTCCAAAATTTCCCCAGGTGTCAAAGTTGCTGTCCAGCATTTGTAACCATCTCCTATTGTTGTTCCACTGGTTTTAAAATCAGATTGATGTCCAAAGACATCGAGAAGAATCAAAGGTTGTTGTCTACTTCCTCTCAAGCACATAAACACCACACTGGAGCCTTGTTTGTCGTGTTTATTTGGGTGAACTTTCCTCCTACTCTTTTATCTTTTAGTCACTCTCAATTGTAGTTATTAATTGACTCATGAAAAGTTGTGTTGACTCTTCCGTTAAAGCCTAGTATTTATTAGGAGTTGTGTGAGAGATCTTGCATAGCACTATTCTTATTGTTAGATTAGGGATTTCTTGTTGAAAGTTGAAACCCATTTCGTTTGCAATGTCAAGAGTAATTGATTGTTATGTGGTTTTTACTTTTTGCAAGTGACTTGGCCTAAGCTTTTGTTATCACTCTTGTATTTTATTTCATTGTCTAAATCAACATCAAGCTTTAGTTAAATTGCTCTTAATCATCAAGCGTGCAAAATCCTAATATAAATCGTCTTGGTCATTATGTTCTACATCACATTTTCTCCCATTCGCACACTTATCACACCGAGGTTTTGTGTCAGGTTGAGTCCAGGTTGAAATTTCTGACCCGTCTACAAAAACGGAAAGGTTCGGGTCGTGTCAGACAGTAGCAGATCAATATTGGGTCCAATCCGAACCCGACCCACAACCCAATTTTGATGTCCTTGCCTCCTACCAGCACCCTTGCCATTGATGCTGTCGTTGGCGTGTAAAGTTCCAACACCTTCTTCATCATCTCTTCTAGGTTTGATAACTTATCTTCCATTGAAGAAATTTTGTCCTCCACCGACACTTTGATTTGGCTCATCCCTCCTTCAAGAAGTTCTTCCAAAGCATCAATCTTCTTGGCCGCCATAGGTACCCAGATCTTGATCACCAAATAAAAAATAGTAAATCTGCCATTCCAACATCAAAGTTTAGAAGTTTGGACGATAAAATGCAGCAAAAGTCAGCAAGGGTAACCCTCCAATTCAATCCGGATACTGCTCTGATACCAATTTGATAGGAAACACTTGTTGAAATCAAAATAAACATGATTGAATTTGAATTTCAGCAAGGTGCAAAACCAAGAATAAGAAAAGCGTAGTGGAAACACAAGCAAGAAATAATTATATTGATAGAAGATGGAAGAAAACACACAAGATACAATAGATCTTAAATCGAAGAGGAAGATTCGTCTCTCCCAAATCTATAGACGTCGCTAGAGCCGAAAAACAACGAACATACAATAATAAAGGAAATCTCTAAACAACCCCTCATTTGAATTTTCCCTCCTAAACAACTTTAATTACTTCCTCATTGAGGGCTGTTGGACCCCACGGCTTGGGACTCGAGTCGACTCGAGTCGATCCCGTATGGACCGGCTGGAGCAGTCCAGTGACCGGTCTAACAGATTTATGTCTTATATTTGAGGATATTACCTATCATCTTCAAAAAAAATGACACTAGCTCTTTAATCAAGGCTAAAAAATAAGGAATAATAAAAGATACAAACATCCCATTAAACCTGATTATTTTCAACTTACGTCTAAGGGTAAAGTAGAAAAGCTAATGATCAAAAAGTGCTCATTCGGTCAGGAACATTTGGTAGAGACTTCATCTGATAATACTGTCGTGTTTTTCTATACAACAACAACAACAACATCAAGCCTTTATCCCACTACGTGGGGTCGGCTACATGAATCCTTTTTCTCCATTGTGTCCTATTAAAAGCCAAATTCTCGTTTAAATCTAATAAATAAAGGTCATTCCTAATACCATCATTTCGTGTTTTTCTATGAGATAAATTAATTGCTATTCTCTCAAAGATGAGCAAACGGTTTCCCAAGTGTGTTTCCTATGATGGTAAAATTGTGGAGAAGCTGCACATATAGCATGAAAAAAACCATTACCAACTGAGGCCAAAAGCAACTTAACCCAAATGCCAATCGAAAGACACTATGAGCCCTTTCTAGTGACATTCATTCAGGAAAAAAACTAATTATCCCCAAACTATACCATGCTGCCTTATCAATAAAGCATCACAAGGATTCATGCTCAACAAAAGAAAATGAAGAATCCAAAATAACCAGCATACCTTCAAGGCACAGTGTTCACAGAAGTAGTGCTTGCACTTGGTCACAACCGGATCGTCGAAAGGTCTCCTACATATAGAACAAGCAAACGGCAAGTCATGATCATCTTCATCATCACTCCCACCATCACCATCCTCACCACCGCCTCCCATGGCCAACCTTCTCTTCCTGGCCTTCTCTCTCTCATCCCAATCCTTCTCCATCTGCCACCCAGACTTATAATCGCCTCGATCATGCATAAACTTACACGCATCCCCAAAACCGCAATAACCAGTCTCCTTATAGTCCTTACAGATGTCCGGCTGGTAGTCGAATCTTGCCGAGACCCGGATGTGCTCCGACGCGCGGAGTGGACCGTGCGCACCGCCTGCCTTCTCGCCGGCAACTGTCTGTTCGCGGCGGAACCCAGCCTTGTAATCGGTGTAACCGTGAATGCCACGATAGACTTTCTCGTTACTGACCTCTGACCCGGATTTCCCCTTGAGAGACTCCTCCGCCCGCTTGAGGACTCGCTCGCGGATCGCGCGCGCGTCACGATCGAACTCTGTCTCGGTCTGAAGAGAGGCAGTGGCGCGGCTGTCATTCTGAACCTGGATCAGCTTGGAGGACTCGAAGTGAAAGAGGCCGGCCTCGCTCTTGGGTTCGATTTCGCCATCATCTTTACCGGATGGCTTTGAGGAGGAAGTTGCGGTTGAGAAGTGGAGTGCCTTATCTGAAGCTAGGGTTTTATTGGGTCTTTGAGAGGGGAGGGAGGTTTGGGGTTCTTGGTCACCGTTTTCATCTTCTCCTTCGGTGGATTCAGTGGCCGTTCTCTTCCGGATGTTCTTGTTCCTTGAAGGTTTCTTAAAGAAACTGCAGACGTCGCCACTCTGATCGGCCATTTCCAATTCCAAAATCGAAGCCCTCGGTGGGGAATCAAGGAACCGCTAACCAGCGGATTGAGCTTCAGCGGAGGTCAATGATAAGTCACAGTTTCGACCTAGACTAGGTGAAACGCAGCCAATTTGGCGGAGAGGAACGTTTGCAGACCAAAGGAGATCGAATTAAACCCTAAACCCTAGTATCGCTGGAGAGATCGGAATTGGATCATACGGGCACCAAATTAAGAAGGTTTTTTTTACAATACTTTGACTTTGATGGGATTGTTAAATCCCCGTACATTCCAAGCAGCAATAGGAGGCATGGACATGATTATTTGTAAAGTTTGACCTTCTTGGCCGTCTTAGTTTTGGACTTTCCTTTTTTGGATGGCGATTTAGACTGAATAGAGACCTTGGTAGAGGTAGAAGAAGTAGCAGGAGAGCCTTTAAAATTTATCTGTTTTGCTGAGATGTTCCCTTCCATATTTTGGGAGGAAGAGAATTCCTCTTCACAAATGTGATTACCATCAGGATTCCCAACCCGAGTCACCTCATCAATAGGTTCCTCCACAGGAAGAGAGCCAAAGCTATTAGCAAGAATAACCATAGGCGATAACAAATTGGCATGGTTACTATGGAATGTAAAAGATGAGGAAGCAGCTTGAGGTAGGTTGAGGTTGGGAAAAGGAGGGTTATGAAGAATAGGTTCGGATGGTAGAGTTTTAGAGCAATTGACAAGAGGAGGATCAAGTGCTGAAGGCGTTGAGGTCACGGCAATTTCAGCCGTAGGAGGTAGTACAGTTTGGGCATTAGAGTCAGAAAAATGGGGGATCAACTGAGCCGAAGGGGGTAAAGTGGGTGCATTAGGTTTGCTACGGGAAGGAGGCCTGTGAGATTTAGTGGGATTGCGGCTTTTGCTTCTACCCCTAAAAACAGCTTTAGGAGGAAGAGTCGGCTTAAGGGAAGGGTTTTTGGGACAAAGCGCAAAATTGTGAACCAGCGATCCACAACCCTCACATTTACTAGGTTTCCAGTCATACACAACCGTGAGATTTAGATCAACTCCATCGATTTCCATCGGAATAATCTCTGGCAGTTCCGAATCTTTATCCACTTTGACACAAATTCTCGCAAAGGTAAGTCGAGTTCTCTTAGCAGTCAAAGTATCAACATATAGAGGTTCACCAACGAAACTAGCAATTTTTGAAATACCTGCCGGGGTCCAGAGGGCAAGAGGTAGATTGAGCACCTTAATCCACAAGGGAATCGAGGCAGACTCATCTCTCCTAGGCTGAAATCTGGGGTTCCAGCGCTGCAGGATGAAGGGTCTTCCGAGGAGGAACCACGGACCACCCGACCACACCAAGTCGTAATCTTCCACCGCAGTAAACTTCAACAAGAAGAAGTCGTCGGCCAAAGAAAGAAGAGAAAAAGAACCTTTCAATTTCCACACTTTTTACATCGACGTTAGAAGCCTTTCGTAATATGGGCGAGGACCCAAGGAATAACCAACAAGGAACAAATTCCAAATCTCTTTACCTTCATTAAGCTCATTAGGAACAAATGAAAGCTTTTTAGCAGGTTTAACGAAGGTCAAAGGCCAATATCGCGAGAAGAGGAGGGCGCCACAAGATTGCTAGTATAGGAGATCGGGGGAAGAATCGGTGAAGCCCCAAGCAGGGAAGAACCATTTAGTGGCGGAAAATCGGAGGGAAGGAGAGCCATTCCGGCCGGAGGCCGGAGCAGAGGAGGAAAAACACAACGCCGCCAAAACAAGCGAAACCCTAGCGGATCCATAGTTGTTATTCGATCTTTCTTTTTTTTTTTTTTTGCGGCAAATCTTTTAAAGGTAGTTGCTTTTGGGGGTTTAAGTAATTGCTTGTGTTCGATGAGTGGTACATTTTTTAGGGTATAAAAAAATTGCAGTTAACTGAGGTTTAAACTTTAGATGGTCAAACAAACAAAGTTATAGCAAGAGGATGCCGAAATTGTTGGGGAAAATAAGTTTCTTTGTGTTTTGGAAGCTAAGGTTACTCTCTCTTCTGTTTCTGACCCTTGGTTCTCATTCTCTCACTCCTTGTTTGAGAATGAGAAATACTGTGATAATTTTAACCATTCTACGCCAGGTAGAATTTGGGTTAAATGGGATGATGCTCACGTGACTTTTACTCCGTCTTTCTCCTCTTCACAACTGATCCACGATCTGGTTGGTGCTGGTTCCTTTCCTCCTTTCTACATGTCGGTTGTCTATGCTGCCAATACTGTGGAAGAGAGGAAAGTGTTATGGAAAGATCTTCTAAACATTTCTTCTAATTTGAACTCTCCATGGATTATTATGGGTGACTTCAACTGTTTTAGGTTTGGTGGGGAAAAAGCTGGAGGTATTCCCGTTGCTAATGATAGATTGGGTGAACTTAACAATTTTGTTTTTGATGCTGGATTGCAAGACCTTGCCTCTGTTGGGTTATCTTTCACTTGGTTTAATCAAAGGAGTGATGATCCTATCCATATCAAGTTGGACAGAATGTTGATCAATTCTGCCTTCCTGGACTCCTTTCCTACGGCATTTTATAAAGTGGACACTTTTTCTGGTTCTGATCATGCTCCACTTATCCTTAATGCTTCTCTTTTCAAGAAATCTGCCTCTAGATTCATGTTTAAAGACTTTTGGACTAATTTTGATGAGTTTTGGGACTTAACTCAAAGAGCATTTGATAGACCGGTTAATGCTAGCCCTATTGCGGTCTTCTATGACTACTTGAGATCTCTTAAAAATGATATTAGGGGGAAGACCTGGAATTCTTCTAACTTTATTTCTAACAGTATTCTTGAGTTAAAAAATGCCCATTTCAATTGCCTCACTGATATTCAAAAGGATCCTTTGAATTCTGTTTTGAACTCTCATCTTAAGTAAACTAGTGAGAAGTTGGTTATGTTTCAAGCTGCATGGTACTCATGGATTTCTCAACGGGCTAAAGCCTACTGGCTAACCCAAGGTGAGGATGATCTTGGTTTTCTTTATGCCAAGATCAAGTCGAGGAAGAACAGAAATGTGATTAAAGAGCTTACTACCCCCGCTGGGGTTCTTTCTTCTCATGATGACATTTCAAAAGCTCTTATTAATCACTTCCAGAATCTCTTCAATGCTCCTACTCCGATCTTCGAAAGCTCTCATAATCTGCCTGTAGGTAATTTGGTTCCTTCTCATCTTTTGGAGGGCCTGGTGTTGCCGGTTTCTAATGATGAGATTAAAAGGGTTGTGTTTGAAGGGGTGCCTTCTTCTGCTCCGGGTCCGGACGGTTTCTCCTTTGGCTTCTATTAAAAAACTTGGCATTTATCTGGTTTTATCTTATGCAGAGCTATCAAGCACTTTTTCTCTACAGGGCAGATGCCTAAAGGTGCTAAAGCAACGGCTATTACACTCATTCGTAAGGGTACTCATTCCAACTCCATCTCTGATTTCCGTCCAATCTCTTTATGCAATGTGTTCTATAAAATTGTAGCTAAGATTTTAGCTAATAGGTTGAAAAGTAGTCTTCCTTTTATCATTCATGAAAGCCAATCAGGTTTTATTACCAAGAGATGCTCTACTGACAATATCATTCTTGCTTCCGAACTGTTAAGAGAATTCAAAAGGCATAAAAATTATTTTTGTGCCAAGGTGGACATTAAAAAAGCTTTCGATTCGGTCTCTCGTCCTTTTTTGATCAACAGGCTTAAGCAGAAGGGGTTCCCTAGTTTATTTATCTCTTGGATTAATGCTTGCATTACTGATGTTTACTTTTCTATCTGTCTGAATGGTTCGTTGGAAGGGTTCTTTAAATCTTCTTCTGGATTGAGGCAAGGTTGTCCTCTTTCCCCCCTCCTCTTCTGCATTGTTATGGATGGCCTTTCCTCTAGCTTGGATTGCAGGGAGAATCACTCCTTTTTGGGGATGCAGCATCAAATTTTTAAGACTAGCCACCTAATGTATGCTGATGATCTTTTGGTGTTTGGTTTAGCCACTGTGGATAATGCAAGAGCTCTGGTTGATGTTCTTGATCACTTCTCTAAGTCTTCGGGTCTTGTCATTAACCCTACTAAAAGCAGCATTATTTTCTCGAAGAATTCTATTGATGTGCAGCAAATTACTGATATTCTGGGGATTAATCATGTTGAACGCAACCTTACATATTTGGGAATCCCAATTTCCTCTTACAACCTCAAATTTTCTCACTTCCAACCCCTCCTGAGTAGAATTTCTACTCTTCTTGCGGGTTGGAAAGTTAAATTCCTTTCTTTTGCAGGTCGTGTGCAATACCTCAAATTCACTATTGCTAGTACGATCGCGTACTGGATTAGAGGAGCAATCATACCTAAAGCTTGTTGTAAATTTTTGTCTAGAATTTGCTCCAAGTTTCTTTTCTTTGGGAATACTTTGGATAAAAAGATGCACATTATCTCTTGGAGGTCGGTTACTATGCCTAAAAGAAAGGGTGGTCTGGGGCTGGCATCTTTTGACTCTCTTTATTACAATATGGCTTGCTCCTTCATTTTTAGAATGTATAATCATAGCTCTTTAATCAGCTCTTGGTTCAGGGAGAAGTTTCACTCCCCTTGGAAGCCTCCTCCTCATACTGCTTCTAAATTTTGGAAATTGTTTTGCAAAACTGCGGTGTCTATCAAGCCTGTTGTTTCTTTCTCGGTTCATAGAAACTCCAAACTTTCGTTCTTTTGGGATCCATGGTGTAACAATCGCACTGTGGCTGATTTGATGGATCTTAATTGTAACTCCCAACATTGGGTTGGGGATTATATTGCTCATGACATTTGGAATCTACCGGAGTTCATTCCGGAATCAGTTAAGCTTATTATCAACAGTAAAGTGATTTTGGGGGAATGTCCTGTGCTGTCCTGGAATTCTCGGACCATTACACCCAACCCATCCAATTAACATTTTTCTGAGTATTTTCATTCCAATTTAGAGGATGTTTCTTGGTTTAAGTTTATTTGGCATAAAGGTTTTGCTCTTTGGTATGCCTCTTTCTCTTGGATGGCTGTTAAAAGAAAACTTAAGATGGCTGATTTGTTAAATTTGAGGGGTATCCCAGCTAACCCTGAATGCTTTTTTTGTCGTGGCAACTTTGAAACGCATTCTCACGTTTATTTTGAATGTGATTACTCTTTTTCTCTTCTCATTGCTCTTTTTTCTCATTTGGGGAAATTTTATTTGAGGCCAAATCTGATACAAGTATTTGATAGCTTTGGGAGCTACCGTAACTTCACTAGAGCTGATAAAAATTTCTATTATTTTATGGTGG